TAAAGATAGAAAAACTGGGGATTATAATTATTTTATTACTGCTCTAATACAGAGTTTAGTCAACAAGACTTTGGGAAACTCAAACAAGTGCCTATCCAGTTTAACCAGAGAGATATCTTCCAGTAATGTGTGATCAGCAGTTAAATTGGGCCTGCAACAGATTTTCATTACTGATTCATACGTTATACGACTGTCTCGTTAATTTAATTTTAATTACCATTTGGCTTCAAATGATTAATGAAATGAGAGAATTGAGATGAAATGATTATTGTACTTCATTCTGTTTTTGAATCCCTCTCCCTCTTAACTTTTGCACCTCGCTTAAAGTCTAAATACACAATGTCATGCTGTGGCATATTTAGTTCAGTTCACATTTATTTATTATTTATTTCATTTTTTTCCAGTTGATTTATAATTTATGTTCAAAGGAATGCACTTAAAGACAAATAAAGTAAAAATAACTAATAGGTTTCACCATAAATGAGTAGTTCTAATGTGGTGCCTGTTTTCTTTATGATTTGGTTCCTGTTAACAAAATATCAAACTTACCTAAAGCCCAAGCAGGTGATTTAAAGATGTTTTAACTGTCTGACAAACAGGGTATCCAGTGCATCATGTAGGAGAAATGCACGAAATCTTCATTAATGAGAAGGTAAAAATAAGTCCTCAACCCCACTAAACAGAATATCAACATATGTAGCATATCTAAATATGTAACTAAAGATACTAAGTTAAACACTTGCCGCATCATCTTCATTATTTCTTAGGTTGATGCAGTGATGTTATGGGTGTTTTTATTTTTGTATAAACTGAAAAACAAAGAAAGATTTAAAAAATGATTAATTAATACGTTTTTCGTTGATAGATCTCAACCAGTTGTTTAAAAATATGATATTCAGATTTTCTTTCAGACATGTGAAACATAAACTGATTTCCTGAACATTTGGTATGTTTGGTGATTTATTTACTCGTCTACGCTCTGTCCACCTCTGCTTGGATAAGCTGACTGTGTTGGGATTCCAAACACGCCTGTTGCCAGAAAAAGCCACCGATTGTATCTTTACATTTTGCAATTGAAATGGGAAGAGGTGCAGCGATTTAATAAAACACTTGTAACAGCATGTAAGCCAAAAGCAGTTCGCACAATTCTAACGAGTTTGAAAGTCAATATTTGGTATGACCACCTTTATTTTTCAACTGCCTGAACTCTCTTAAGCAAGCGTTCCTGTCATTTCTTTGAGTAGTCTTCAGAAACAGTTCTCTGGGATTCTTGAAGGACATTCAAAGCACTTCTTCGGATTTTAGCTGCCTTTTGTTCTGTTCTCTGATGATCCCAGACTGGTTCACTAATGTTGAGTTTACTATGGATCAGTCCTGGACTAACAATCATGGTTTGGCTCCAAGGAAGACCAATCCATTACTGACAGTGTTCAACTGTGTTTTTCTATCCGGGTATGTTTTTAGTGCACTGGCAGTGTGTTTGGAATCATCGTCATACTAAGAAATGAAGCTGTTATCAATCAGATGCTTTCCAGATGGTACTGCATGGTGGATCAAAATCTGATGGTACTTTTCTTCCTTCCCAATTTTATCAATTCTGACAAGATCCCCAACACCAATGACTGAAGTGCAGCCACAAACATGACAGAGTCTCCAGCATGTTTTACACATGGCTGTAGACACTCACTGTTGTACCTTATCCTGACCTCCTCTGTACATTTAACATTACCCATTGCAAACCTTTCAGTTGATTACAATGGTAATGCCAGCTGTATCAAAAAACTAGGAATTCAGGGTAACAACACAAAGTACATTCAAACCCAACTCTTACTGCCTCGTGGCAGCTACACGAGTCACCATCATGAAGTTTTTGCTTTTCCGAGTGCGGTTTTTCCTGCACTTGCGGGTGTCATTTTTCTTCAGTGTGTAACGATACACTAGGACGCTTGGTTCCTGTGACATCCCTAGGTTTATGAGAATACACATAAGCCTATTTAAGAAACTGTTTAGCAGAGTTTTCTCAAGATCTGCATACTAGATAATTTCTGGATCGTTTCATAAAGAAATAGGGAAAAGAGTTGATGATAAATGTAAATGAGCAAACTCTTGTGGACCTGGGGTCTGCTCTGTTAATCACTCAGCTAATCTCAAACAGATGTTTAGCAGATAGTCATTCATTTATTTACTCACAGGCTTAATAGTAGAGTGATATGTCTGCACCTACTCTGAGTCACATAATCTATTTCATGTGTGAGCAGCTTCAATATTCTAATATAAACAACTAAGACTCTCACTCACACCTACACCGTTTTGTAATCTGTTTGTGGGATTTAGTTACAGGTGCTGCAACCTGTATCTCCAGCCTTGTGCTGGCCTATCAGACATGCTAACACGGTTTCTGTCGTGTTTTTATGCTGCATGCTCCTGCACACACGGACAGGTCAGCTAACAGCATATCACTGACACAACACGGTTCGATCACAGGCTCTTACAACCCTGCTCTTAGGCTATACAAGCTTAAGCAAAGCACTTAAAAACACTAAAGCTCTGGGTTAATTGATGCATGGGTCATAGCCACTGAGAACGGAGTCATTTAGAATGCTTTGGATAAAAGCCTCTGCTCACTGGAGTTATAAGCAGTGTTGTGTATTGAATGTAAGCTTTCCCAATACTGCAAGACTTGCTACAAGTGTAAGTTTAGACTTTTTCTTTAAATATGCAGGAGTTTCTTTTTACTCATAGGGTAGAGATGAAAAGTTATGCAGTAATGTGAATGAACATTAGATTTTTAAGGGAACTGAGGCATTTGTGGCTCTTGTACAGCACCGGGCTTCCTCCTGCACTAAAGAGAGGAATGAACAGTGTGAAATCTCAGATCATCAAGAAAATTGCAGCAAAGGCATTGATCCTCTGAACAACAGCTACATGACAGATGTGATGATCATTGCAGAATTGCTTCTCCTCAAAGGGAGAAAGCGAGATAGAGAGAGAAAAAGACCCACCAGGAGTGAAATTTAAGCGAGACAGGTAAACGAGTGGAAACACTCAAAAGTTAGAGATCCTTTCCGATTGTTGTGGACCACTTGAGCATTAGATGATTATAATTTGGCCAGCGTTAAATCACACCTACAGCCTGTTTGGGCTACGCATCAGTATTGACTGCAGTGAGTCACCTTAGAGTGTAAAAAGCAGATCTTAGAGCCAACTCAGGGGTTTTGAAAGTGATCCAAAATCCACAGAGACGATCATCAAGGCCACACATACATCACACACACGGCACAGACGGTGTTTAGCACGTGGGAGGCGGAGGAACTGAGGGGGTGTGACAGGGCCAAGATCACTTAATGAAAGAATCACTGATAGCTGATAAAGAGGTGGGCGGCAAATGGCAGCACCGTGATACAAAAACGACACCTTTGATTTCTCATCAGACACAACCGAACCTTTTAAGCCCTTTCGGTGTGCAGTGTGTAACATGAAACTTGCACTTTATGCTGTCATTAAGTCACACAACTGAAGTTATAGCGCAAACAGTAACTGCATGCATTTGCACAGAATTACACGCAGTTAATTAATGATTTGAGGTGTAGTTAAGAAATGAACAATTTTAGGCTCTCATCCATTATCTCATTGCTGATAATATTTAAGAAATGCACAAATATTTCAGTTCAGCTGCCACCCAGTGCCCACATTTGGGATGATCACACAGGAAAAGTTCAACAGCAAACTTGCAACATCAAGTGACAGAAAACAAAACAAAACAAGGGTATAAATGAACAGTGTAAAAGCAGAGCGCTGACGGTCATTTATGCTGGCTTTTTAAAACCAAAGGCTGGTCCCCGAACGGAATAGCTGCAGCACTCAGTGAGAAGCTGAGCTTAGTGGGTATATACTTGTGCTACAGTCATCAACACTGTAGGCGAGCACAACAGCGTATTTCTCATTGAATAATGAAAATTTCTGAGACAACACTCAGAGCTGTAACCTGCCATGGGCTGCAGGCACAATGAAGACAGGTATAAGTCACTGTGCTGTTTGCTGACAGTGCACAGAAACTCCTGAATACTGCAGTGCACACTCCTACATAATTTCCAATTCAAGACGTTTCAGTCCTCCTTTAGCAATGACATGATGTGAGCTGTGATGAATACTGAATGGCTGATCGCGTGCCAGGTGCCCTTTACCTCTGGAGCTGTCGAAGCTGCACAGGTTGTTCAGTGAGAGAAGACTGTGGAAAATAATGGAAAAAATACGCGTCTGATGCAATGATGTGGCCCAGGTTCAACATGGAGCCAAGATGAGATGCTGGCCCTGCACTCCAAAGCGGTGCATAACACACTGATGAGACACATACGAGCTCAGAGCCACGGGGCCGAGAGCGTGCAGAGCTGACTTATAGTGATGCGGACTGCGGTGCATTTGTTAACAGAGTACGCTACACACATCACCCTGCCTGCATAGGCTGCACGGTGGAAAATGGACGCCTAGCATCGAGAGACCAGTACAGAGAAAACTCAGCGGACTGGGACACGAATGACACACCGAGACTCGCATTCGCACACGCTGAAATAACTCTCCATCTTCGGGGAAGCGGCCGATCATGTCAGCGAACGCAGCAGATATTTTAGTCTCCACAGCTGCGGCGTGAATGCAGGCAGAGCTTAAAAACGAGCTATTAAAATGATCATTTGCATAATAGACGTTGCGGTCGCTAATTATAGGCCCGCGCAAAATAGGTGGGAATATTATCATTCAGCATTTAATCAGAGAGAGAGAGGGAGATGGAGAGGAGTGGTGGAAGTCTGAGAAATATTATTATTCTTTTCTGGAATTATGATATCAACACTGTCAGTAGTGTGTTAAGTTGCAGGCAACGTGAAACAAATCAATGTGCTATGAAAATGAACCTGGATGAACTGTCATTCATTAAGCTGCAAAGTCAAAACAACAGTGTCTCAATGCGATTATAATTATTTTAAAGAAGCTTACGGCGGTCTTACCTGCAGGCTCTCTCTCTCTCTCTCTCTTTTTTAAATTTCCGAGCTTCGCAGCGCCTTGCACTCCCAGAGAGAGAAGGGGATGGAGGGAACAGGGGAGAGGAGGTGGACGGCGCTAAATAACGGGTCTATCGAGGCAACAAAATAAATAATTAAATCGAAAGGGGTGATTAAAAATCATGAATTTAGGAGCAAAAAGAAAAAAAAAGAGTGAAGTCTCAGGTCCCGGTTAAATTTAAGTCTGAGATGGAAAATGGTTCAGCGTGTGTGTATATATTAAAAAAAAAGGCTAGTACAAAACACGTCACTGAACACGGATTTGTCTACAGTGGATGTGGCCGCTGCTTGTGTGTACTCGGGGAGAATGCGTCTCCCCCTCCCCTCCGGTTGGATGAGCGCTCGCCCGCCTGTCTGCTCCTCCATCTATTTCTTCCACACTGCGCGCGGCGCGAGCAACTTGTCGCATCACACTAAAACTCCACGCTAAATGTGAATGAGGTTGGATCGTCGACACAAGATGAAATCTCCCACAGTAGCCTATGTTGTGCTACGAGATCACTACGAAGGCATGACCCCCCTCACCCCCCTCTTATATTGAGGGAATTGGTCTGGATGTGCTTATTGGAGCGTGTGCCACACGCTCATGGTTGCGCGCTCGTAAGTAGCCTATTATGACCAGCTCGTAAGTGCGCGAGTGTTATTGATGTCGATATTTCTTTTTTCCTTTGCTGGAGAGCGACTTGATGGAGCGCCAGTGGGACACTTTCCCTCTGTAGTGATGATGCTGATGATGAGGGCCGCGCTGGTAGTTCTGGGAAATGGAGCACAAGCGCAGCCCTGCAGAGAGAGGGAGAGAGGAGGAGGGGGAGGAGTAAGAGAGAGAGAGAGAGAGAGAGAGAGAGAGAGAG